GAGAAATTAATATCAAAGATACTTTTAAAATCCCATGTATTTGGACATCAAATGCCCACTTTTAAATGATGGGTGAGAAAATATTTGTAACAGAATAAAAATGAAAAGCGAATTTACCAGAATTCGTTACATGCAACTGATGCTGCTCAATGCAACTAAATACAATGTGGAATTTTGAATAAGGTATGAAAACAAATAATGGCACTAGCAAAAAATCTTGTGAGATTTGAACAAAATCTGTATTTTCGCTAATAATACTGTATCACATGTTAACTTCCTGTTTTTTTAACAACATAGTATTTCTTTATATTCTCAGAATTTGATTAGAAGTTTCAAGCGTCATAAAAAAGAAATTTTTTAAAATCACTAATATAATAAATTTTCTAGACTTTTAGCAGTAATATTAGATGCCAAAATACATGGAACTTTATCAAAGTTTTGAGTGAATATAAGTTAGAAATCTAGCATTCTATTCATGCTAAGTCAAAAAAGTAGAATCAAAATGTTATAAATTTTTTAGCTAGGCAAAAGTTTCTAAGTTTTCTAAAATATATATATTATATCATCCATACTATATATATACACATGCAAAAAAACTTTTCTACGATGCTTGATAAAGACTTGAGAAAGAATATATAAAAAAGAGATGGAGAAATAAACTAAATGAAATGGGAGCACTAAATATGAAATAGAAAAGTGAAACAAGCTAGATAAAAGTAAAATAATAATCACATAGTCCAGTTGTTTTTAAACATGGCTGCTCATTAGCAACACATCTGGAGCTTTGGAGAAAAAAAGCAATAACTGGACATTTGTATTTTTCAAAAATTTCCAAGATAATTCTGATATGCATCTGGATTTTAAAAAGTAATCACAGGTTTTTCTATTAAGTGGTAGTTATAGTGATATAGAATTCTATTTTTTTCTGTTGACCAGTCATGATACAATGATATTAAGCCTATAATAGTTACATAATCACAATAGTCACTCACACAATCACAATAGTAAAAGATGTTTTTCAGTTTTCACAATCAATAGCCAGACAAAAAATAAAAGATAGTTACAATTGCAAGCCATAATGGGAACATGAGTAAGCTAACAAGATAATATAAAATACTTACGTACAGTTTTAGGGGTTAAGTAGAGTGATGTGGTAAGTGGAAATGCATACATACACGTTTTAATCCACCCAGCCAGTCTATGTCTTTTGGCTGGTGCATTTAATTCATTTACATTTAAGGTAATTATTGATATGTATCATCGTATTACCATTTTCTTAATTGTTTTGGGTTTATTTTGTTTAGCGTTTTCCCTTCTCTTGTGTTTCCTGCCTAGAGAAGTTCCTTCAGCGTTTGTTGTAAAGGTGGTTTGATGGTGCTGAATTCTCTTAACTTTTGCTTGTCCGGAAAGTTTTTGATTTCTCCATCAAATCTGAACAAAAGCCTTGCTGGGTAGTTTCCTTGGTTGTAGATTCTTCCCTTTCATCACTTCGAATATATCGTGTTAGTCCATCCTGGCTTGTGGAGTTTCTGTTGAGAAATCAGCTGATAATCTTATGAGAGTTCTCTTCTATGTTATTTGTTGTTTTTCCCTTGCTGCTTTTAACATTTTATCTTTGTCTTTAATTTTCATTATTTTGATTACTATGTGTCTTGGTGTGGTCCTCCTTGGGTTTATTCTGCCAGGGGCTTTCTGTGCTTCCTGGACTTGACTGACTATTTCCTTTCCCAGATGAGGGTAGTTTTTAGCTAATAATTCTACAAGTATTTTTTCAGGTTATTTCTCTCTCTCTTCTCCTTCTGGGGCTCCTATAATGTAAACAGTGCTGCAGTGAACATTGGGGTGCATGTATCCTTTTGAATTATGTTTTTCAGATATATTGAATTATGTTTTTCAGGCATATGTAGAAGAATGGGTTTGCTGAATCATGCGATAACTCTATTTTTAGTTTTTTAAGTGAACCTCCATATAGTTCTCCATTGTGGTTGTACCAGTTTACAGTCCCACCAATAGCGAAGGAAGCTTAGCCTTTCTCCAAAAGCTTACCTCTCCAGCATTTATTGTTTGTAGACTTTGATGATAGCCATTATGATTGTGAGGTGATACCTTATGGCAGTTTTGGTTTTTGCATTTCTCTAATAATTAATGATGTTGAGCATCTTTTCAAGTGCTTTTTAACCATCTATATATTTTCTTTGGAGAAAAGTCTATTTAGATCTTCTGCCTATTTTTTGATTGGGTTGTTGTCATTATTTTGATATTGAACTGCATATGCTATTTGTATATTTGGAGAGATTAATTCTTTGTCAGTCATTCATTTGCAAATATTTTCTCCCATTCTGAGTGTTGTCTTTTCATTTTGTTTACGGTTTCCTTTACTCTACAAAAGCTTTTGTTTGATTAGGTCCGATGTGTTTATTTTTGTTTTTATTTTCATTACTCTATCAGGTGGATCCATAAAAATATTTCTTCAGCTGCATATTAAAATGATTATACACCATGGCAAAATGAAATTTATCCCTGCAAGACAAGGATGGTTCTACATACAAAAATCGATCAATGTAATACACCACATTAACACAATAAAGGGGGAAAGAAACCCCACATGACCATCTCAACTGATACAGAAAAGTCCTTGAAAAAAATGCCATGGCCTTTCATGAGAAAGACACTCAACCAACTAGTAATAAGGAAGCTACTTTGACATAATAAAAGCCATACATAAAAATCCATAGTGCACATCATACTCAATGGTAAAAGACTGAAAGCTCTTTCTCTAATATCAGGAAAAATGCAAGGATGTTTGCTTTCACCAGTTTTATCCAACACAGTACTGTTAGTACACAACACAGTACCAGGTTAAGCAATCAAAAGAAATAAAAGGCATCCAAATTGAAAAGCAAACAATAAAGTGATCTCTCTTCATAGATGATATGATCCTATATGTAAAACCTTCAAGATTTCACCCAAAGACCTGTTAGAACTAATAAATGAATCCAGCAAATTAGCAGGAGACAAAGTCAACACACAAAAGTCAGCAGCATCTCTGTTCACAAACAATGAATAATCTGAAAAGGAAACTAAGGAAACAATTTCTTTGACAATAGCTCCAAAAAGGATAAAATACTTATGTGTATTTTTGCCACAATAAAAGCTTTTAAGTAAGCTGTGTAGTAACTAAAGTGAGTAGAAAGATTGGCTGAGAGGGTGTTAGAAACACCCCGAGATCCACCACCTTTCACAGGCACACCAAAATTACAACTGCTGATAGCATAAACATCGATGAAAAAGACTGGAACCTACCAGAAAAGATCTTCTACAAGAAAAGTTACAAAGAAGGAAGCACAGCAAGATAGGAGGCTTCTCTCCAAGGAGTGAGGGGCCTGGGACCCACATCAGGTTCCCCAGCCCCGGGGGTTTAGGCCAGGAAGATGAGTCCCCAGAATGTCTGGCTTTGAAGGGAAGCAGGGCTTCCTTTCAAGAGTCCCATAGGACTGTAGGAAGTACAGACTCCACTCTTAAAAGGCACTCACAAAATCACACAAGCTCCAGGACCCAGGGCAGAAGCAGTAATTTGAAAGGAGCCTGCCTCAGACCTACCTGCTGATCTTGGTGAGTCTCCCAGAGAGGCAGGAGTCAACTGGGGCTCGCCCTGGGGACACAGACACTCCCTCCCATCTTTGCAAGCTCCTTCTGAAACAGATTAGACCCTATGGTCCTTGCCTCGCCCCCTCCGCCCCACCATGTCCTCTGCCTGCCTTTTGTCTGTGGAAAACTTTAGTCAAAGAGTAATTTTAATCAGAGAAGTGAGAAATGTGAAAACAAAGGAAAACAGTCAAAGAAGACAAAATAATAATTATGCAGTCATGAAGCATAGTCAAGGACCTTTAGTTCTTTCTCAAGAGCTATAGATAATATTCTGAGCCATATCCTGTGAACTCTCTTATAGATACTAAAACACCAGGTGGAGAAGTTACTACCTGACAACCGACTGTACCCAGGACATGAGCTGCTGCAGTTCCGAGATTTGGCTGCAAAGAAATGGGAACAAATGGACCCTGGAACTGAAGAGTAACTGTACCTAAAACAACCAAGATGATGCTGGTCAGGACCAATCTGAAGATGACTGTTAGAGAAGTTAGAAGATGTGCTGTTTCTGCAGGTAGCTGCCCCCCACTTCTGCCTATAAAAGCTCTTGGTCCCTTGCTTGTTGGGAGTTGGGGGTGGGGGTTGGCCTTTGGACAGATGGCCCACCACCCCACAGTTGCCAGTATCTGAAATAAAGCAAAGTTTCCTTTCCACCAACCTGGCCTGTGTATTGGCTTTTTGAGCCGAATCCACACACACACTTCTTTCGGTAACAATTCTACCATGTAGACACTGGTGCTGGCAAGGGCCATTATGGAATCCTCCCTCTAGCTTACCAGCCTCAGGAGCCAGCCGTGCCCCAGCCCAACAGCCTGTCGGTACCAGGCTGGAACACTTCAAGCCAAGCAACTAACTGGGTGCGGACACAGCCCCACCCACCAGCAGACAGGCTGCCTTAAGAACCCCTAGTCCACACCTGCTCCCAGACTCGGCCCAGCACCCAGACCCACGCACCAGTGCACAGGCATTAGACCTGGACCCCCAGCGCCTTGTAGCCTTAGTCTCTGGGACCCAGCTCCACCCGCCCACCAGTGCCAGCCCCAGGACAATGACAGCCTCCCAGGCTGCTGAAAACTCTTCAGCCTCCGCCCGTCACTTCTAGAGAGTTTCAATGTTAATTCCTCACTGTGACCCTTCCGGCAATATGTCTTAACTCAGGTTCCTCTCAAACAAACCTTGAGATAGGGATTTGGGTGCAAGAGCTTGAAACCGGAGGTGATCACAGGAAGCGTGTGTGGGGAGGTGGGAAGCGAGATGAGCGGGAAGGCCGACAGGGGGCGCTGTGACGGTGTGTTACTGCTGTGGACCGCGGGCTCAGTCCCACAGCGGACACTCGGAGGGACTATGAGGAGATGAAGATATCTGAATCCGAAGGGCATCATGGATGGGCGAGGAATCGGGAGCCGGGACTAGGGTGAGGCAGGCGAGGTACCCAGGGTGCCAAAGCCAAGGAGAAACCGCGAGGTACCACTTCACACCCCACTACCCCACCACATCGCTCCAACCCAAAAGACAGACAAGAACAAGTGCTGGCGAGGGTGTGGAGAAATTGGGGCCCTCACATGCTGTTGCTGGGTTTGTAAAATGGTACAGCTAGGGTAGAAAACTATTCCTTAAACGGTTCAACACAGAGTTAACATATAACCCAGGAATTCACCCAAGAGGCATGAAAACACACTACCTCACAGAACTTTATATGAATCTTCATAGCAACATTTGTTATAATAACCCCAAAGTAGAAACAACTCAAATGTCGAGGAGCTGAGGAATGCATAAACAAGATGTGGTTTATCCAGACAATGGAATGTTATTCAGCCATAAAAAAGGAACGAAGTATTGACACATCCATGGTATGTTGGATGAACTTTGAAAACATTATGCTAAGTGAAAGAGGACAAGATAGTTTGAGAGCATCACTGACCTAGTGGACATGAATTTGAGCAAACTCTGGGAGACAGTGGAGGACGGAGGAACCTGGTGGGCTACAGTCCATGGGGTTGCAGAGTCGGACACGATTTAGCGACTGAACAACAGCAAGTGAGAGAAGCCAGTCACAAATGGTCAAGTAGTGGATGATTCCATTTCTGTGAAATGTCCACAGCAGGCATATCCATGGAGACAGAAAGGAGATGAGATGCTGCCTAGGGCTGGGGTTAGATGGCAGTGAGACAGGAAGTGACTAACGGGTTCAGGGTTCCTTTCAGGGTGATGAAGATGTTCTGGAATTAAAGAGTGGTGACGGTTGTCCAATTTTGTGAATATACTAAAAACAGCTGAATGGTGCACTTTAAGAGGGTGAACTTTATAGTATTTAAATTACATCTCAAAAAGCGGTTATAAAAACAGTTAAGGAGGTGCTTGCTCTCAGATGCTGACTCGACTCTTGCACAACTCTGAGAATGAGAGTCTCAAATTTCATGCCCCAGGTGTCTCCCTTCCCAGGGCACAGCCTGGACTCATCTTGGCCCAGAGGGAAGATGGGGGTGTTTATCCTCTAAATTCTGATCCTCACTGATCCAGGGTCACCCTGGGCTTTAACTCTCCTGACTTGTCCTCGGAATTCAGCCAAGCTCAAGGCTGTGGGTAAGTGACTCTCAGGCATCAAGACACAGGAAGTCAGCAGGGGGTGTGTGTGCTGATGACTGAAGCACCATCAGTGATGTCTGCTCTGTTCTGTGTCATCTGCCCACCACCACTCTCTCTCTCTTTTTTTTTAATTTTGACTGTGCTAGATCTTCTTTGCTGTAGTTTCTGGAGTGTGTGGGCTCAGTAGTTGCCCTGTGGCGTGTGGGACCTTAGTTCCCCTGAAAGTGAAAGTGAAGTTGCTCAGTCGTGTCCAACTCTTTGCGACCCCTTGAACTGTAGCCCACCAGGCTCCTCCGTCCATGGGATTCTCCAGGCAAGAATACTGGAGTGGGTTGCCATTTCCTTCTCCAGGGGATCTTCCCGACCCAGGGATCGAACCCAGGTATCCCACATTGCAGGCAGATGCTTTAACCTCTGAGCCACCAGGGAAGCCCTACCAGGAATCAAACCCACATCCCCTGCCTTGGAAGGCGGATTCTTAGCCACTGGACCACCAGGGAAGTCCCTAGACACCATCACCCTTGTATCCTCATCTTGCTCTCCTTCTTACTCCAGACACCTTGACCTCCATGCTTATCAGGAAATATATCACTTTCCCAACTCAGAGCCTTTGCATGGCTGTTTTCTTTGCCTGGAACACTGCCCTCAGCCTGTCTTCTTGCTCTCTTCTTCAGGATGCAGCTCAAATGTCACCTGACAAAAGGCCTTCTATTCCGCCCTATCCAAATGGATTCCTCATCATTCTCTCTCCAAACACCGAGGGTGCTTTCTTAATAGCATTTACCACAATTTGGAAGTTATATACTCATTTGTTTGTCTGTCTGTTTAGTCCCTTGTAGGCTGTGAGATTCAGAAGAGAAATACTGGGTCTATCTTGCTCATGACTGTATCTACCATATCCTTCGCTGTGCCTGGTATACAGAAGGTACTAAATAAGTGTTCTTGAATGCTTTATGAATAAGACACACCTCAGACCCTTTTCCTTAAAAGAAACACCCCCAGCCACATAGGAAGAGAAGCATCTAAACAAGTGTCTATGACACCAGCTGATTTGTACTGTAACAGACAGGGGGGCAGAGGAGTGTGGGAAGCCAGATGAGAGAGAAATTAATTCTTCTGGGAGCCCAGAAAGTGAATACAATCTAGAAAGCAATTGCTATTTGAAATGGGTTTTGAAGGATGAAGAGGAGAGCATCAGGTACATAAAGATGTGGGAAGAAAATGTCAGGCAGAGAGAACAGCGTGGCTAAAAGTCTGGAAGCAGGTGAGTGCTACTCTAATTGTGTGTGTGTGTGTGTGTGTGTAGGGTGGGAGTTGAGGAGGCAGAGGAGGTGGAGGGGGTGAGGTCAAGAAATCCTCCAAAAAAAAAAAAAAAAAAGAAATCCTCCAATGCTGAAAGGAGTTTGGACCCTGTCTCAGGGGTATGGGAGCCATTGAAGGGGGTTGAGCAGGGGTGTAGTGTGGCCAAGCATGGGTTATAAAGCATCTGTTTGAGGTGGTCTGGATGGGGTAAGGGGGATAGGAGGCAGAGAGGGCTGCCAGAAGAGAGCTGGTATTCTGGGGGAGAGATGCTAAAGCTTAGATAGAATGTCAAGGGAGTAGCTGGGGGCTGGCAGTGGTACCCAGACTCAGGCTCCCTGCTGACGGGCATAGCCCCCCTAGGATGCCCACCCTAACATCCACTCCTGATCCTCAAGAGGGTACCAAGGAGGGAAAGAGGAAAGAGGCTGAATGATTTTAGATAGGATGTCAAATTCATGATTTCACAAGGATTTTTAAATAGTATGGGATTTTAATAGTTTTGTTTTGAAGATAAATATACATAAATCAAACAGGCGAGTCAACTTGAAGGAAAATGTTAAGTAAATCACAAAAGCAGGTAGATCAGTGATAGACGACTGATGAATACTGCTGAGGCTGGTGGGAGCCACAGCAAGGATGGAGCGAGGCGGGAGCAAGGCAAGGCTGGAATGTTAAGGCTCACTCTGCTGGCTCATTGGCCACCTGGCTTGACTGGGGAGTGGTAGGAGGACATGAGTCCAGGTCCTAGAGAGAAGGAAGGAAGCAAGAATCCATAGGTCTTGGAGTTTGATTGGATATGGGAGTAAAGAAGATGAGGAGTTGGGGGAAGCCCTGGTTTTTGGCTTGAAGGGACCAGGCTACTTCTAAGGTGATGCCAGAGTCAGTCATGTTAAAGCGGCTACACCTTATGAGATTTGGATTCTTATATCCTTCAGTGAAATATAATTTGCAGAACTCTATAGTTCCTGCCCTGTGTCCCCAGTCAGATGCTGCAGCAGATGCGGTTGGTGCCCTGCTCATTCCCCTCCCTCAGCCCATGCAGCAGGTGGCTTGCAGACTGTACCACCCTCGCTGACATCTTTCTGGGTGTCTCTCTGCCAGAGGGCATTCTCTGGCCAGAACTGGCTTAGCCTACACCAGGCAACTGGACAAGCCAAATTCATGTCCCAGGACTGGACCTCATCCATGTGCTTCATGCAGTGTCCCAGAGGCCCCCAGCCAGATCCAGCCCCCATTACACACAGCAGGAACCCCACATTAACAGCCCTGTATTAAGCTTTCTTCCTTTCCCAGGTTCACTTATTGCTCTTAGAGTGTGTCTCCTGTGACCACTTCCCTGCAAAAGCACCTGCGTCCTTTGCTCAGGGTCTGCTTTCAGGGGACCCCAGGGGAGACAGAGAAGCAAGAAATGCTAGGGATACACCTATGTCTCCCTTCTGCCCTGGAGATGTAGGTTTCATCCACCCAAATGAAACCCAGAGCTAGTGTGCACCCTAATAGCTCACCAGTTACAGCAGTCTGTAGGCACAACCAGAAAGCCAAGACTGTGGAAAGAGTAGAAATCCTCCTTTTTATTGTTTCATTTAGGCCAGTGATTGGCAGCCCTTGGGTATCTGCTGGCATAAGCTTTGTTTCAGATGTTTGGAGCATGAAGGGAGGGGCCTTCCTGCCTCAGGGTCTTTACACTTGCTTGTCCTGCCCCTGAAATGTTTCTCCTAAGACACACCCAAATCCAACTCATGTATTTTAGTTCTTAGTTTAAATATTGACTCCCCAGAGAGGCATCTCTGATCACATCATCCTCAACACACTACTTTTCCCTTCATTCTATTGTCTTTATAGCTCTTGGCATTGCATCTTTTAAAAAACCACTTTATTGTGGTATAACTTACAAGACATTCATTTAGCATGTGCAGTCTGCCAAATTTTGACAAATACGTATGCACTGGAGTCAACATTTCCATCACTCTCCAAAGTTCAGTCAGGTAGCTTTTTCCCTGCCCCATACACTCACCCATCCACTTTTTGTAACTATAGCTCAGCTGTTTCTTTTCTAGAATTCCACATACATGGAATAATTTGGCATGTATTCTTTTGTGTTTGATTTCCTTTGCTCAGGATATTGTTTCTGAGATTCTCTCTTGTCATTTTGGGGCTTCCGTGGTGGCTCAGACATTAGAAAAGTCCGCCTGCAATGCAGGAGACCTGGGTTCGATCCCTAGGTCCAGGAAGATCCCCTGGAGAAGGAAATGGCAACCCACTCCAGTATTTTTGCCTGGGAAATCCCATGGACAGAGAGGAGGCTGGCGGGTTACAGTCCGTAGGGTTGCAAAGAGTCGGACACAGCTGAGCAACTAATCACGCACGCACACACTTGCCGTGGGGGGTTCATGCAGTCCTGTGGCTGAGCTGTATTCCACCATATGGATGACCTCAGGTGGTGTGTTCACTTTCCTGTTGATGGACACCTGGGCTGTGTCCATTTCTCAAGTGTCAGAACTAAAGCTGCTATGAACAGTCACATGTACGTCTGCGGGTGGACATATGGTGGTATGTTTTCAATTCTCTTGGGTATACCGCAACGTGAACCTGCTGGATAATCAACGGGATTACATTCCCTATTTGTTTGCTTTTTGTATACAGTCCCTCTTCCCTACTCTGCATCATCAGGGCTGGACTTGGCTCACCACTGGATGCAGGCAGTGTCCAGCAAGCACGTGGCATGTCCCCAGTGAATGAATAAAAAGTTGCGAGGGCTGATTTCCAAATGTTAGGGCTCTGAGCCAGGGATCCGCTGGGCTTGGGGGCACTTCCTCCCCAGTGGCCAGTTCTGCTGTGGTTCCCGGGGAAACCTGACACTTTCTGAGCCCTGGAGGGGAGCAACGCACACAGGAGAGGAGAAATCATGACATGGTGGTTCCAGGGGTCTCGATGCTCACACCTGGGATGCCCGAGGGTCTCCTGTGACCCTGAGAGGTGGCAGAGGCCTCTTGCCTCCTCTCGTGTCCCTTAGGTCTCAGCCTGCTGCCCACAGCATGTGGCATTTTTCGTGGCGCTGGGGCCCTGGGTGCCTGTCCCTCACCAGGTGTTTACGCAGCCCGTCCTCTTCCGCTTCCTCACACACCATGAAGGGCCTCCGGGACACACATACGAGTCACTACTGAGGTCCACGTGTCCAGACTCTGTGCACACCTTCTGCCATCCTCTGCTCCTTGCTTTTCTGTGCTCCTGGAACCATGGGGAGGGCCCGGGTGGTATTGGGCCCATGTTTTAGGGTGCGACTGGAGTGTATCTGTGTCCCTGCGTGTCTGAGTCTCTTGCCAGCACGATGTCTCTGTGCCAGCCTGGCACTGCCGCCCCCCACCGGGGAAGCCACCTCCGGAGACCGCCGAGGCGGCCGGGGCCAGGGCTGTCCTTCCATCTCGCTCCAGCAGGGGGCGTCAGCGCTCCGCGGAGAAGCTGCGCTGCAGTCCTGCTGCGGGCGGAGGGCGGACTGGGGACTTCGAGAGACCGCGCTGGGCCGGGCGCGAGCCTTCCGCAGTCTCAAAACACTTCATCTCGTCCAGAAAGGGGAATTGAGGCTCAGAAAGCGGGTGGGAGGATAACTGAGATCTCCCAAACCCCAGGCCCAGTTTCCACCGCACCACACCCTTCTCTAGACGTGGCATGGGAAGGGAGGGCGTCTCTGGGCGGTAGGGCGGGAGGACTGTCTTCTCACCGGGCCACTCAGACTTGCTCGGAGGCAGTGGGATAGACTCGACCTCTCAGTCCCCTCAGAGAACTTCATTAGCTGCCGTGAGGTCTGTGAGCCCAGGGGTGAGGTCTGGAGGTCAAGGCTGGGGAGACTTGCCCCTCTGGAAGTCACCCAGTATAAGGGAGGGGCTGAAGGTCCCTACTGTTGTTGTTTAGTCACTAAGTCGTGTCCAGCTGTAGCTCCCCAGGCTCCTCTGGCCATAGGATCTCCCAGGCAAGAATACTGGAGTGGGTTGCCATGTCCTCCTCCATGGGATCTTCCCGACCTAGGGATCGTACTTGCATCTCCTACATTGGCAGGTGGATTCTTTACCACTGAGTCACAGAGGAAAACCCAAAGATGTTTACTCATCTTTACAGATGTTTACTCATCTGTAAAACGGGTGTGTAGGGAACCATCTCCTCCAGTTCTCTCCTGTCCTTTCTGCTTCATCCGTGGCTTAGGAGGTGGCTGGACCAGTGTCCTGGGGACTCCATCCTTGGCCTAGCCAGACAACCACTTCTAGACGAGACCACCCTGCTCATTCCTGGACCCTGCTCACTTGGAAGATGGGATTGTCATCTGACCTGAGGGTGTGCATTTTTATTACCTAAGCAGCCTGACTCGAAATGATGAATTTGGCCAATCAAATACCTGCTCTTCCAGAATTTGATATGGAAGCCCGTGCAGGGCAGCAGTCTTTGTTCTGGGTCCCAGGGAGGGAACAATAAACAGGAAAATGAGGCCTTTCCCCTAGGACCTTACCCTCCTGAGAGGGGAGACAGACTGTCAAACAAGTAAACAACAATCAAATAATTACAAATTGGGATCAGTGCTGTGAAGGAAACCAGGAAACGGCAGAGATAAAGGGAAACCAAGGAGGGGGAGGCTGCTCTTGGCCAGAACTGTCAGGAGAGGGACTCTAATGAGGCAACATTTAAACCAGGAGCTGAAAGATGAGATGGAGCCAGTCATGCAAAGGCAAGGCATGTGAAAAGGGGGGAAATAGGGCCAGGAAAATGATCAGATTCATATTTTTAAATGATCCTTCCGGCTGTTGGGAGGAGAACGGGCTGGGGCAGGGCGTGAAAGCCGGACAGCCAGAGAGGAAGCTATAATAATAATTCAGGGGAGAAATGCTGGTGCCTCAGATCAGGGTGGCCAGGCGGGTGGTGGATTCTGTTAGATGAGAGATATAGAGGTGGGTGTTCTTCTGTTAGATGAGAGATAAGGGACAGGGGAGAATCCAAGATGATGCCTTAAAAAGTTAGGTGGTTGGAAGTGCCCTGTTCTGAGATGGGGAAGGGTGTGAGGAAACCAAGTGGAGAGGGAGGGTCACAGAATTGAAGACCGCTGGCAGACACTTAGGGATTCCAGAACGGACTCCAGCCTGCCTCTATTCCCCTGCCTTTGGGGGTGGATTTTGGTTCTGAACTCAAGCACTGTGGCTCCTAAACTTGGCCTCAGCATCACTCTGGAGTGTTGGGAATATGATCCCTGGGCCCCCAGTCTACCCACTCAGAAGTTTCCTGGGGTGCTGATTCAACCAGTCTGGGTCTGTGTGTGGGAACCCCTACCCCAGAGGTCAGGGTATCTGTTTCCACTGGGGCCCTGGTGACCTCTGTCCTCCTCTCCTGGGTGGCCCTACCCAAGTGAGGGAAGAGGCAGTGGCAAGAGAATGAGGAAGGAACCCCAAGAGAGACAAATGGGCAGGGGCTGCTGGAGATTTCGAGATGCTGAGAGATGCGAGGGGAAAACAAGCCTCCTTTTAATTTTGACCTCATTTCTAAATAATCCCAGCTACTAAGAAAGATACTCCTTTGCTTCCTGGGAAGTAGCTGGGGGAATCACCCAGAGGAATTGGCAAGTGACACAGAACACAGAGGTTCAGGCCTTGCACCATGCACTTGCGGAGGTGGAAGTCAGGGGCACTCGGGCCCTGGGCTCACTCCAAGCTGAGCCTGCCCATTGAGGGCAGCCCAGTTCATTCTGGACTCATCCCATTGGTGGGTCTTAAATGGCCTTGCTGGCCTGGGAGGTAGGGAATATTGGCTTGGGAGAGAAGGGACTTTTCCCTTGCCCTGACCCTCTTCTTCTGGAGTTATCTCTGAGGTCTCTGGCGCTTCTCCAGGGAAGCCCTCCCTCACCCCAACCTCACTCCCATAAGTGGGTCACGTCCCCCACTGTGAGCACCCACTTGGCAATCTGTTTCCATGTTCACCGACACGATCTGATTTCACCCTTCAAGGCAGGCCTGCCATCTCCTTTTACAGGCAAAAGCACTAAGGTTCAGCGAGTTGAAGCTGCTTGCCCAAGGTCACACAGCAGGCATACAGCCTTGAACTTCTGCGGCTGTGGCAGATCTGGGTAATGTGGCCCCCAAATCTTTTGTTATAGCTGAACACCACCGAACAGTGGAAACCTACAGATACCCAAAAGGATCAGATGAAGCATCTCAAGGGACCAGATAAATCTCCACGCTGGGCTCAGGCAGAAGATGGGGATCCTATGCCCTCCTGGCGACAGGACCCCAGATGCCAATCTCAACTGAACGCAGTCCTCCCCTTTCCCAAAGTCAGCTGTTTCTCTTCCCTGGAAATGCCTCTGAAATGTCAATTGTGGGCCACCCACCCTCCCTCCCCCCTCGGCGAGTCATGTAGCAGCTCAAATATATTATACATATTAAAAGAATATATTCTCTGGCAGCCCTGAAGGGGATAATGAAACCTATATATATATATCTATATATTTATACACAATGGATTGGCTGGAAACGCTCTGAATATCCCTCCAGCTGTGGCAACCCTTTGAAATATGACACTCCAGCAACACCTCCCCCACTGGCAGGCTGGCGGGAGACATTAAAGATTTAAAAAAAAGGAAGAAGGAAGGAGAGGAAGGAGAAGAAAAAGGAGGCAGCTGGCTTTTGCCTTTGGCTGTGTAGCAGCAAACTGTGTTTAAATATTAAAACCACCCATCACCGGGCCCAGCTGTCCGCCCCCTTCAGTGGCCTGTGTACACACCACAGTCTCCCGTGGCAGCTGTGGGTGAGGGTTGCCAGGCAGATCGAACCTCTCCCCAACTCCAGGGATGGGGAGCGGGAGGCAGGGAAAGCAGGGAGGAGGCTCTGCTTCAGATCTCAGATTCTGGGCTTGTCTAGGCTGGGCTGGGAAATGGGGCCTGATGGGGCTGGAGTGGGCTGGGGGGAACTTGGCAGGATTTGAGGTAGAAGATGTAGGTTTGGATCCCGACTCTGCCTCTTAAGTACTGTGTGACCTTGACCTTGGAAAAGTCTCTTCGGTCTCTGGGCTGCAATTTTCTCATCTATGTGATAAGAGATTTGGACTGGATCATGGGACTTTAGGGGTCCATGAATATTCAGAAATTACATGCTGAATTGGTGGGGGGGGCGGCGGTTGGTTTCAAGGGAGTCGTCAGGCTCATTAGAGTGACTGGTCCTTCTCCGAGCGCCCAGAGCATCATTTCTATCCCAAAACTGGTGCTTTAGGGCTCCCCAGTCAGGCAGGGCCTGATTTCTTCCATGTCCCAGCTGCTGTAGGGGAGGAGCTTGGAGATGTTTATTAAGGATCAGCGCTATGGGAAGGGACATCTTGTTCCAACAGTATAATTAAAGATGAACCACAGTGACAAGAGCTGTCTTGCAAGGTGGTGAGCTCCCTGCCACTGAAGGAATTCAAACAGATGCTGAATGATCTCTCTGGTCGGGGGGCGATGCTGTACGACAGATTTCAGCATTTGACAAGGCCTGACTGTGAGGTTCCTTCCACCCCCAAATGTCTGTGATTTTAATTTTCTTTGATTGAGGACTCTGTAGAGCTTCAAGTATGACTGAGGAGGGAGAGAGCCATTTGGGGTTTCTGTAAACATCATGAGCATGTAAAATGGCAGGAGTGTGGCTTTGCCTCCTAGATATCTCTCATGATGGTTGTGGGCATCTTGCCACCTTGAGTGAAATTCCAGGGTTTAAATATATGTATTTTAAGGCACCATGGCTTCCCATGTGGCACAGTGTAAAGAATCTGCCTGCCAATGCAGGAGACACAAGAGACTCAAGTTTGATCCCTGGGCTGGGAAGATCCCCTGGAGGAGGAAATGGCAACCCACTCCAGTATTCTTGCCTGGGAAATCCCATGTATAGAGGAGCCTGGTGGGCTATAGTCCATGGGGCACACACACACACACACACACACACACGATTCTAAGCTCACACCAAATACTTGATCTTTGGTTCAACTGGTAAAAAATCCACTTGCAATGCAGGAGACCTCGGTTTGATTCCTGGGTTGGGAAGATTCGCTGGAGCAAGGATAGGTTACCCATTCCAGTATTCTTGGGCTTCCCTGGTGGCTTAGCTGGTAAAGAATCTGCCTGCAATGCGGGAGACCTGGGTTCCATCCCTGGGTTAGGAAGATCCCTTGGAGAAGGGAATGGCTGCCCACTCCAGTATTCCGGCCTGGAGAATTCCATGAACTGTATAGTGCATGGGGTCGCAAAGAGTTGGATATGACTGAGCAACTTTCACTTGGCTCAGCTGAAAAGGCAAGGCTTCCTTCTATCCCTGGACCCAAGTGAGCAGTGGATGGCTCCAGCATGGGGTCTCCTGAAGAACTCCCAGGGAGACAGGGTTAGTTTGACTACCCTGGGGTGGAGTATTTTCTCACCTGCTAACTCTGAAACAAATCCCCAAATTGGGATGTTCCAAGTCTAAGATCAGGAGTCAAAGGTTTCAGGATTTCAGAATCTAAAGTTTCTATAACTTGGGGTTTCTGGGAGTCAACATTTCTAAGACCCTTTGAGTCAAGAAATCTTTAAAAAGAGGTCACAATGGGCCTTTCTATGAGGGATATATAT